TCTCCAGATTGAGAAGTCACAGCTGCGATGGCTTGGGCATGTGTTGCGAGTGCCTCCAGAAAGGAAGGCTGAGCAACTGCTCCTTGCAAATCCGGCGGGCAGAAGGGCCAGGGGACGGCCAATTACAACCTGGTGCAAATATATGGTAGGAGTCTGTTTCAGACTTCAGTTGTCTTCTGAGCTCAGACTCTGGCACAGAATCGGGAACGTTGGACGCTCTGTCTGGCGCGTCTGCCTCTTCGACCGAAAACGAAAGGCGTCTATGAAGATGAAGGCCTCGAAAAAAACATATGGAGGCTCACAGTTGGAAGACTGGAATTTTCCGGGCTTCTATGCTTTATCATAATCTGCCAGGGCCTAATTTTCAGAAAATTTCGAAACCAGTTGTAACCTGCAAGATAGCAATTTCTAAATTATGAGATGACTCGGACAGTTATTGAAACTGCACGCTTCAAAGAGTAAAATGCAAAAATTATTTGTTTCCGCTGATAGACGCTGCTGCGAAAGTACTGAGAAAGACAACTTCCGTCCTCAGTTCGAAGCGTATATTATATGAATGCCATATATTGGATAACATTGTTGTTTGTGACTTGCATGCCGCAGTCTGTAGGTTATAGGTTATTTTTTCGGTTTGCTTCCGTTTTCTAGTGTATTACTTGAAGAGGGGCCGCTGCTTTGGTCAGTTTTGCTCGCATTTTTCGTTCATAGTGAAATTTTTAGTCGGTAATCGATTTTTCAGGTCGTTCCATTCAGCATCGCCTAACATCTTTTTGAGCTTCACTGACACCTTTTACCTGCTGTTCGGCTACATTCCTCATGAACTTGTTTTACTCCATTTCATTTGGCCAATCCGCAAGAGTTTTCACTGATGAGCTTTTTGTGAGTGACGTAATAAGAACTACACCCTGTAAATATTCCAGACTGGTGTTTTGTATATTTAAATATTCACATTTCAACTCAGTCTATCTATTTCTCAAGTCTCGCTTGCATGCTTCATGGAATTTATTAATATCTTCCAATAAATCGACTTGGTTCCGAATAATTTTTACCCAGAACTGGCGTAAGATAACTTCGCTTATTGTCGGGTCGACTATTATCTTAGTTTACCTCTCGGACTAATCTGAAACTGTGATTACCTCTTATTATATTTAGAAGAGGCATCAGCTTTTACAAGTCTGCTAAATTTGTTTCCAGACAACTGATTCCATCGTCATCCATCGTCAAAGAAACTTTCTAAGGAAATGGTCGAACAGTCGAATTTTAATTAGGCAGCAAATCCTTCATCACCAAAATATTGAAATCGAACGCCAAGAAACATAGCACAGACATGTATGATATTCGAAGTAGATATAAATAGCGTTAGTTCAAACTTTTCATAGAAGCAAGTATCTAAAAAATTGCACATAACCAGTAAGTGATCTACATACCTAATACTTGCACAAAATATTTTTGAATCAAATTTGCCGGTATAATCAATTTATGAACTACTTACCGATAAGCACTTGAAAACTAGCTTAAAATGGATAATGGGGATGATGGGCATCTTGAGGCAAATCGACGAATCTTTGACCTCGATTCAGTGCTTCTAGACTGCTCATCTCATCTTCTGTCAAGGAGAAATTTAATATATCAAAATTTTCTTTCAGATGTTTTTCGCTCGATGCTTTTGGAATCACTACCGTGCCGCGTTGAATTCCCCAGCGAAGTACAATTTGGCCAGCACTCTGAAAGCAATTTCAAATTATTTAACAAAAGCAGAAAGCATATGTTAATAGTTTTTCCACGTTCAAAGTTGAATTTTTTTCGACCGGATTTCAGAGTCACATATATTTAGCTGGCCACAACACTTCTGCCATTATCCTCTTACTCGTGAATTCCTCGCCACCGTGGTTTTTGTAAGTCAGAAATAAAATGATCAAATGTTAAAGGACGACTCAGCGGTCCCTGACGGAGTTCAACGCTCGCCACCCTGCTGCGAAGAATGATGACAATAAGTGGATACTAGTCACTTAACACAAAAAATGCTTTGACATATATGGGCAGTAGTTGCTCATAGCCAATTTACGTTGCATTAAGCAAAACAGTGTGTTTCAGCCTCCTAATTCTCACTTAAGCAAGACAGTCAAATTGAGACAGGATTTATAAAAAGAGATTAGTCATTTTTCCCATGTCAATGGTTCAAAGAATGAAACCCGCATTAAAGTCGATAAAAGTTTGGACTAATTCAATTCCTCCGTTGGAACATATATTGAAAACGTATCATTAGCACCTGAATGTGCTAAGCATCAATCGAGACATTACGGTTCTTCATCCTCGTTATGACCACTTAATTTGAAGAATAAAATGAAATTCAGACACAACCTACTTTATTATGTTTTGCGGCAATGTTCTTGACCACAGGATCCTCGAGTAGATTCAGCTGCAACGATTCAGACATGCGCCGCTGCGGATTACTTAAAGGGCTATAAGCCGTGACGATGATGTCATGTTCGTTGCACCATTCTAGCAACTTCTTCTGACTGAAATATGGATGGCATTCAACCTAAATAAATGCAATCCTGTAAGATGAATGCTATTGAACGAAAACAACAATCACCTGATTGACGGAAGGCGCATGAGAGCATTTCAACAATCTTTCAATTTGGTCAGGGTTAAAATTCGATACTCCAATCGAATTTACCTTACCGTTGTTGACCGCGTGTTCGAGAGCAGACCAAGTTTCTGTGTAGTCTATATTTGACCACATGATTTTTCCTTCATCGTCCTGACTAAGGAAAAATCAGTTAAGTACGTATAAACGGGCAACGATCACAGTGAACATCATTAAAGAATGAAAACTTTCATTTTGTTTTTCATTTTTCGAAACTGCAGTCATAGAAGAGGTCATAGAAAACAGGTGCCGGTATCTCGCATTCTTAGCAGAAGCAGAGATAACAAACAATGACCAGCATGCAACAAATAATCAAACATATTTAAAATGAAAATCACATTGAATCTCACGATCACATTTACGAGCGATAAGAGATGAAAAGAAGAAAAGATTGAGCGAAATCGGTAAAGTAATTCGTGAACTCCAGCGGACCATCATAAGAAATGCAGAACTGAGACTGAAAAAAACTCTCCATGTTCACATTGGTTTTTATTCCTTAAATTGGTCATCAAACTTGAGCAGTCCCTGCAAAAATGAGATCGCCAGTAGCAACGACCGAGAAGAAATTTCTTAGAAGAATTACTGAAGTTAGGCGTTTGAAGAAAATCTGGCACTCGAGAATACATGAAGAGTAAGGCGCAACTTTTAAGACTGATAGACCACAGTTGACATGGTTTCGTCGATATCTCCCAAATAACGCCAGAAATAAGCCAAAGACAACTGTATCTTGCTTGATCTAACGACAGAAGCCATCAAGAAAGGTCAGAAAGATTTGGTACCGAGTGTATTACGGATCTCTGCGACCGATTTTCGAACTTATCACCTGAGGTCGATTCCATGGCTCAAGATCGACAACAATAGCGTTTACTCCTAAAATAGCGCGCTCCCTTGACCAGAAAGGAAATATGGGTATGAAGACGGATAGATAGATGGATGGATGAAAATCATATTAAGTGCGCAAATAAAAATTGAATTTTATGTCAGTTGACGGCAAGAGTACTTCGAAGTCAAAAAAAATTAGAGGACAGTGGCAAATAACTTTTAACCTTTAGCACAGTGCTAACTAATTTTGTTCTTGAACGTAATTAAAAACCTACAGGATAACAGTACTATCAAATTTAGGGAGCGAATTTCAGATTTTTTAGGAGTCACGTTAGCGCACATCACTGATATAACATTTTAAAATGAAAGGCCATCGGTCCATTTAAAATTCACAATTTCCTATTTGTTCAGCGTTGCAAGGAAGGTTTGCAATCATTTCCGTATTCTGCCAGGTGAGAAAGTTATGCCAGCTAGTTTTCAAGGTGTATTAACAGCACTGACTGCTCCCTCATATTCTATCACCAAACCTTGGCAAATGAGTTGTCTAGCAGAGATTTCCTCCAACATGCAGATAACATTATCAAATCATCGCAAATTTAACTTCCTGATCTACATGGTAACTCCGCCATGGCCGGTCCCAAGCCCGCATGAGAAAGGAGGAGTGTAGGAGACCGTGGCAAGTCTCCGGAAAATTCAGCCACCTGCCACTCATGGTATTGACGCCTTCGAAAATTATACCGGCTCAGTCGTCACCCGGGTTACCAAGGGCCGCGCAGGCTGTTGGAGGACTGAGGCAGACTGCGAAAAGTGGCGATCAGAACCTTCTCATTGCCCTCTGACAGCCAGGGGCGTGGCAGCACAACGACGGCTGACGAAGACCGACGCAACGACGACGAAGATAACAGTCAGCAACGG